AAAAAAAAAAAGAGGAATAGATAATGCAGAGAGTGATTTGTAAATCGTAACTTATGATAGAAACATGGAAAAAAAAAATTATAATATGGTAAGATTGCTATTTGCCCAAACTAAGAAGGAAATGTGTACTAAGAGAAAAAAAAATAACAAAATTAAATATAAAATTATGAAGTTTTACAAAAGTTAATTATATTTAATATCAAGTCTAACTCCAGAGCAAAAATAAATATATAAACAACATTACGAAGCATAGATTTTCGCCACGTCAGTATCCGAAACGTGGGAATGTGCAACTTATACTCAACATGTTTTGAATTAATATACGAAATGGGAGAATGTGCAACTTATAGTCTAACATGTTTTGAATTAATATAGAGAGAGGGATGGTTCTATATTTAGTGACCAAACTATACTTTATCCTATACGGTGATTATTAGATAGAACGACCAAATAGATAAAGCAATCAGCCAAAAGCTGGAAAACCGCGTATTTCCGTGTTTGGCCTCACATTGTCCCTCCTTGAAAACCATACACACACATACATTATATATATACCTAACTCCTAGCCCAAAAAAATGAAACAAAACAAAATACTATAGCTTACATTCATTTTCTACCTCNNAAATGGCTTCCTGCAAATCCTTATTCATCATTTTCCTAACTACGCTAATCTATATTTGCGATTCCACCACCGTCGAGAAAAAGCCACCTGCGAGGTCACAATCTTTCCGGCTTGAACTCGGCTCACTTTCCAAATCCTCTATTTCCAAGTACGCCGCCACGTCACCATCATCATCATCATCATCTCGCACGTACAACTCTTCTGTCCGCGTCTCGTCGGGGCCGATCGTGTTCCTCCCCATCGGCACCCCATCCCAGCTCGTCCCATTGGTCCTCGACACCGGCAGCCAGCTGTCGTGGGCCCACTGCTCCCCCAAAAGGAGCAAAAACTCCTCCGCCTTCATCCCTTCCCTCTCATCCTCCTACCACCCCATCCTCTGCCGCAACAACTCCAATTGCCCCACTTCCCATCCCGATGATCAGGTGCCCCTCACCTGCACCAACTTACGCTGCACCTTCTCCGTCTCTTACGCGGACGGCACCCCCAGCGAAGGCAGCCTCGTCCACGATACCTTCACCTTCTCCGACTCCCATAATTCTCCCTCTCCCCTCATCATCGGTTGCTCCCACGACAAGGACTCCAGCGGCGCAGAGGGAATCTTGGGAATGAACCTCGGAAACTTTTCGTTAGTATCCCAATTACAAATCTCCAAGTTCTCTTACTGCATATCCTCCAACAATCTCGGGTTTTTCTACATAGGAGATAACACCAACAACCCGAATTATATCACCAAACGAATCGATTTCACGAATTTCCCGGGCGACGTTCGGCCGAACCTCGACGAGCACGCCTACACCGTCACCCTCGTCGCCATCCGAATAAACGGGACGAAGCTGAACGTCAGCGAGTCGGCTTTCCGGCCGGACGCCAACGGCTCCGGCCAGACGATACTCGACTCGGCCACGGGGCCGATGTATCTCGTCGACGAGGCGTACGCGGAGGTGAAATCGAGAGTCGAGAGTTTGACGGGCGCGCGGTTTAACATGACGACGAGCAAGGACGGGTTGTTCGAGATGTGCTTTACAGGAAATAATAATGTTACGGCGGCTGCGGAGAGGATTGGGGAGTTGGGGCTTGTGTTCGATGGGGGAGTGGAGATGGTGATTCCTATGGAGAGAGCGATGGTCGATGAGGGAGATGGAGTGAGTTGCGTGGGAATAGTCAATTCTATGAGTAGGCCCGGGAATATCTTGGGTCATCTCATGTTCAGGGATGTGTTAATGGAGTATGACGTGGTGAATAAGAAAATTGGGTTCGGGGAGTCTACGGGCTGTGGAAGCTAATTAGTCGACCAGGTGTTTATTGTGAGGAATTTTAATAATGATGTTTTGTGTTTGATTCATCATACTTGTATATTGGTTCAAACTTTTACTAATGTTTTATAAAATTTGAATGAAGAGAGGAGAGGTATTAATGAAATTGGTGGATNATTCTCTACTCATGTTGTCTTTAGTAAGACGTTGCACCTCCTGATAGAATATTAAACCCACCAACCATTCTTGAAAGATGAAACAATATTGATTAAAGCATCTGTATGATTGAAATAGATAGTTTTTTATGTTAATTTATTTGGTAAAAATGTTGAACAATAATTATGTGTTTTTTTCCTCAAAGCACGTATATTTTTCATAACCTTACCTATGCGTGAATCTTGGCGCTGTCAGTTCCAGTAGATGCCAGCTCTAGCTACTCTAGTCTGCTCGTTCCTTTCTTTAAAGTCAAATTTACACTCTGTTACAGTTGACTTAAGTGGCTGAATTAGTTAAATGAAAATATAGACATATATATAGGATGTGGTTTGTTGACGAGCGATCGCTAACAATTCTTAATCGCAAAATTAAAGGAGGATAATAGTTGATTAATCGAGACATCGATATATTTTTATGCTTTTGAAACACAGTTCTGTATGAAATAGCAAAATGATAAGGAACACACGATTTCACCGACCTATTGAGAGATCAACAAAGAGAAAAGTTCTGTGAAGATGAGATTAGCAACGAGTATTAGTGTTACAGTAGTAGTTTTGATTTTGAGCTAAAATATGCTCGTATGTTGTTGGACTTTATGAGTTTAGTCTGTCAGAAGGGGTTCACATGTTGCAAGGCGGTCGACAACTTGGGATCGACAACATCCGATATGCGACGATAGGGTGACCAACAGATAAGATGTTCATTATTGTGCCAATCATATCACTACAAAAAAAATGTTATATTCCAACATAAAATCTTGCGATAATATATTTCAACGGAAATTCCAATGGTATAGCTTCCGTTGGATTGATTGCAACAGAAATTTCATCGAAAATATTGCGTTGGAATGACTTTTTCATTGAAATTTTAGATGGAATTTGATAATTTCAACTGCTATTTTTCCAACGGTTTTTTACCGTAGGAATTTCTGTTGGAATTTTTATTTTCACGAAATATCTACAGTTGCAATCGTCAAAATCCAACAACAATTCTAATGGAAAAATTCATTCCAACGAAATATTTTTGTTGGAATTTTTCCATTAGAATTTCTTCATTTTGTTGTAGTGTATCAAGGTCCTCAGATTTCTTGGGCCTTGCTCAGGTATTAGGCATTTTATAGTTAACGGGCCATGTTCCCTTCGCTGGTTATATGGGCTTTCTGAGGATGATTTTATAACATACACAACATGGTTCAAATAAGAACCTAGTCTTAGCGTGAGAACTGCAATTTTTAATTGTACGTAGTCCAATGTTTGATTGTGTTTTAGTGTTATTTTTAACCAGGATTTATTTTATTAAAAATGGCAGCCCATATTATATTATCATTCATGAAAATGATAGCACCATTTAATATTAAAAATAATATCATACAGAACTAAAAATCACTGTTCTAAAAATCGACCTAGGCGGCGCCTAGGCGCTAGGCATTGCCCAACCGCCTCCGATTTGCATAAATCGGTTGAAAAAATTGGCCAGACGGCTAGACGACGCCTAGTCGGGCCTAGGCGCTCCTTGGCGGGCTAGGGGAGCTCAGCGGCAATTTTTCATTTTTTTTTAAAAATATTAATTACATTATTTTGTTATCATTTTTCTTTAAAATATATTGATATTATTATTTGGACTTAGGTGTGTTGATTTATTATAAGTTGAGATAATTTTATTTTGTAAGCAGTAAAAATAAATAAAATATTAAGGTATTTAATCTTGATTTCTAGGCCCCGAGGCACTCTAGGTTCTAAGCGCTGGTCGAGCGCCTAACGACTTCTAGAACACTGCTAAAAATAGCATCTAATACAGTTCTCACACCAGTAAGCATTTTTTTTTCTTTTCTTTATTTTTTCTTTTCAAATTGGTTATATTTATATATATAGGGAGTGGTTCAAATAAAAAGTAGTCCTGGTGTGAGAACCATATTTGATGCTATTTTTAATTGTTCATGATGCTATCTTTAATATTACATGCTGCTATCATTTTCACACATACTAATATAAATTTTGTTGCTATTTTTAATAAAATATATCTTAGTTAAAAATAGCACTAAAATACAATCAATCATAGCACTACGTACAACTAAAAATAGCGGTTCTCACGGTTCTCACGTGAGGACTTGGTTCTCATTTGAACCACATCATATATATATATATATATATATATAATTTTCAGGTTATTTTATATATATATATATAATTTTCAGGTTATTTTAGCAAGTTTCAATTTTCTTTTAATTTGTGTTTACATCTTTAAATTTTTAATAAATATTATAACATTCAACCAATTATTTATCGGCTATGTTTTACAAATTAATTTAATTGTATCATTTGTTATTTGGTAAGTAATATTATATAATGATGTAATACTTACAATATTACTATCACATATCCCTTTTTTTAGTTGTAAATTCATCTCAAAATTTACATTTCAAATTATTTATGATTATTTTTAACCATTTTGGATAGTACAACAAAATCGAGTTACTTAGAAGTAATTTATAGATATCGAATTTGCTTTAGGAAATTAAGTATATATATGTGTGTGCGCAAAAAAATTTTTATGCAAACAAAAAAAATTTCGGCTTATTTTTTAAGCTAGGTTTAGAAAGAAAATGTTACATTTTGCATTATTCACGTAATTATGGATTTTATTTAATTTATTACATAAGAGCTATTATTAACTAATGATAAAGTCACACTAAAAAATATATGAAAGTTATATCTTCAAGAAAAATGGGTATTTTTAAGAAATCTATAGTAATATAAAGAGATTGTTGGAAAAATACTTTTATAGTAAGTTTGACTAAAAAAATAAATAGTTTGACATACTATTAATGGAAATTTCGAAAAAAACACATGTACCAAAAAAATTGAGATTTTTATGGTAACAAATTTGGAGATTTTAATGGTAACAAATTTAATTGAGATATCCCAAAAAAATTGGAGATTTTGTTGGTAACAAATTTGGAGATTCCTATACCAAAATCTAATTCATTTTAAATATTAATTCATAGGAATCTACTTTTATTGGTAACAAATTTAAAGATTGTTATGCCAAAAAATTGAGATTTTGAATTGAGATATCCTAACAATTTCGGATTTTTTCCCCTTCAAATTCATGATGTAAATCAAACAAAAAATTATTCCGAGAATAATGGATGCTATACTAAATGTTGATAAACTCCAATCCATAGGAGATTTTTATGGGTTTCTTATGGAAACAAATTGAAGATTCTTATGGTAACAAATTTGGAGATTCTTATACCAAAATTTAATACATTTAAATATTAATCCCATAGGAATCTATTTTTATTGGTAACAAATTTGAAAATTCTTATGCCAAAAAATTGAGATTTTGAATTGAGATATCTCAACAATTACGGATTTTTTCCATTCAAATTAATGTTGTAAATCAAACAAATAATTATTATGAGATAATGGATGCTATACTAAATTAATATCACTGGGCCCACACGTTAATATGATATTAATTAGATAGATAAATTACGTAAATCTTTCCTAACAAAATGCGTTCCAATATTGTTAACCAATTTAATGGGATTTTCTTAACTAATTTGATAGGATTTTGGTAACCACGGGATTTTGTTAGCTTTTCGTGAAAACACGAATCTTCATTATTGATAAGGTTTGATAAGATTTTGTTTCCAATTTTTTTTGTTTTTTTTCCTCTCTCGAAAATTTGATAAGGTTTGATAAGATTTTGTTTCCTTTTTTTTTCTCTCTCTCGAAAATTTGAGTCGTGGATTTGAAAAAAAATAAATAAATAAAATAAACATATCATATTGATAAAGTTTTAATGTGGGCATAAAAATCAATTTTGATTTGATTGAACTTTGTTTCATATAAACCTAAGAGAATCAGACGTTTGAAAAAATAAAATATTAATAGTAAATAATCATACCATATTTGTAAGGTTTGATTTGGAATATTGAGGCATAAAAATCAATTATGATTTGATCACATTTTGTTTTATAGAAGTTATCTTAGAAAATTTTACACGTTTCTAAAAATTAAAGATTATAATTTTGTAAATTAAAGTTTTGGATTTGTCCAATAAATAGATCAAAATAAAAATATTATTTTTCAATCTATCCAAAAAGTCTTACCAAATTTCATTGTAACAAACTCCATTATTTTTGGCTACATAATCTTCTAAATATTCGTTCGTCCCTCACAAGTGAATCACGTTCCACATTTTTCTTATTTTTTTAACAAAACCGATAACACATATTTTTAGAAGTCAATCATAATCATAATAAAAAAAATCGGATCGGATCATATTAAATACCTTACGTAAATATTTTTTTATTTCCTAGACATATGACACATACACATGACTATATAAACATCACCAACGTTGAACAAAAAGTATTCGACATCCAATATATCCCACAAAACAATTTTTTCTACAAGCTTTTACATCACCATTGAAAATGGCTTCGGATTTTGGAGTAATCAAGGATATCAAAAGATCCAATAAGCCACCAATCAAGCTACGCGTAATTAGGATGTTCCAACAAGTTGAAGACGTACACAATTACCGAAATGTTCTTGAGATTATCTTTTATGATTTTGAGGTAATATATTCATTTAGTATTATTTAAATGCATCATTTTATGCAACATCTTTTATAATTTAGTTATTGAAGTATTCATTATGCAATGTCTTAGGGAGGATGAATTACTGGCATAATTCGGCCTGTCAATATCCAAAAAATCATCGGTGATATCGAAGAAGGTGGCGCTTATATCTTGACAAACTATCAAGTGAATAGCAATACTGGCATCCATAAATCGACGATAGGTAAAAGGAGGATCATTATCAATGGTCAAACCAAGATTATCAAATGGAGGGGTGATCTATCAAATGGAGAGGTGATTTATCAAATGGAGGGTGATTTCTCTATTTCTAACTTTAATGGATGTTCGTAACATTGATGAAGTCATGTTGTTTGGTACGTTATAATTTTTTTGTTTATTTCTTATTTTGATTTTTTTAATTTAAATCTGTAATAAACTATTTTATATGTTATACATTTCAATATGATGCATTTTCTTATATTTTTGTAGATGTTATTGGATTAATTGTTTCCCATTATATTTTCTTACAACATGACTATAAACAAGAGTCAAGAACAATAATTATCGCATGTGGGCTTCTTTCTTAAGAAACCAGTGTTTAGTCATGGTCAATTGTATGTTGCTATCTCCCGTGTCACAAACAGAAATGGGTTTGAAAGTCCTAATTTGCGGCGACGATGACGTGCCGAAGAATCAAACCATGAACGTTGTATATAAGGAAGTGTTCAATAATATATAAATTTTATTATCATTGTATTTATTAATTTATTTATTATTAATGGCATGATCTTTCCTTTAGTAAGTACTTTGAATTTTAACTGAACATTGCTTTATAAAAGGGACGAAGATAATAAATCCCCGTGCATCACACGGGACTATACTAGTAAAAAAGAAAAGAAAAGGTGTGGGAATATTAATATCCAATTATATCTTCAAAAAAAAAAAAGAAAGAAAGATAATTTGACCAATAAATGGTATACGATTGCTTTATAAGCCTTTTGAACTACTCACCTCACTAATTGTCGGCTAAATTTGGCTTGTCCTTATAAGTAAACTTTAACTTGTTAGGCCCATTTATTTATAATAGATTTTGTGTTTTATAACAACCGAATCCTAGCCTAGTAATAAAATATGAAATAAATAACTTAGGAAAAAAATATACATATATATACACCAAGCAAAACAAAAATAGAATTTTGGTGGAGAAAACGTAGTAATTAGTAAAAGAGATAAATCACATCAAATAAAACAACAAGTAAAAGCAAATCAAACAACGTGAAGAAAAGCAATTGCCTTTGCAGGAAGACAGTAGAAGATTTTATGATCTATCCCGTGAGAAAATGCAGTCCAATAATTGTAAGTCGGCAGTGACTATTTACCTGAAAAGCTCGTCACACTTTGGATTGTAGTAAATATCCTCTAATTACATGACAAAAACAAAATATATAGTGAAACCTCACAAAAACGATGGTCCCAAATCCCAATGAACTCAAGGTACTGTATGCATGTGCTAGGCAGTAGACAACACCTCCAAGATTGAACAATAACACCGTCAATGCAGTTAAAAAATTCTCACTCAATTCTAATATGATAGGCGAGCTTTTGGATCAAAAATTTTAAATGATAAACTTAGGCCCGAAGCTTAGATACTCAAGATGGGAGATTATATTGTAACTCTCCTCAGAATACTTTGGCTCCTTATAACTTGGCCTGGAGTTAATGTGGACTACTTGTATAGGCCAATAATACTGCTGTTGTGCTATTCAAAAAAACTATTGTGCCGCTATTGTTCATTACATAAGCCCTCTTACGAAACTGTACCTTTAAATGTTGTGTGTCACGTTTATGACGCTCATTAGTAGCCTTCACCAAACAAAGCTAAAATTAAATGCGACGCATTGAAATTTATAATCTGTCATGCAAACTAAAATCCCAACAGTCGTGACTTCAAAATTGTTAGAGCATTGCATCGTGTACTTTTCGAGTCACCACCGTCATAGACACATGTTTCGAAAACCAAAATCATGAGAAATTCGCATACCACCATCAGAAACAGAATTAATGCACCAAACAGTCATACCCTAACACATGAAACAATACCGACATATAGTTTATGGTCCAAAACGGCCCCAACAGAAGTTACCCTCTTTGTCCAATACAGCTTCGACATGCAAATTCTTAATGCCACGAAGGTCCTCCTCACAACTTCTCTCATATGCTCTTTGTTCCTTGCGAAGCTGCAAAAGCGAAGTAAGCATATTTTTAGCTCTACTGGTTTAAAAAAATGTCAAAAACCTTGATTATTAATCAAGATGTATCACATTTTACCGTTTTATATCGAATCCTGTACTTCTTAGTGCCCTTTATGTATCCAGCCGCAACCAAGGCACGCTCAGCACCCTGAAAAAGTAAATTTAAAAAAAACAACCATAAATGGTGAATTCCAGCCAACCGTGACATATTGTTTCTAAGAATGAGGGATGTTTGAAATAAATAATCTTTTTTTTTAAGAAGGTGTAGAAGAAAGGTTACCGTCATATCACGAGTACCAGGAGTGCCGTACACAATGCTCTCCCCGTAGAAATTTGTGCCGTCTTCGTCGTCCTCACTTGTCTCTCCAGCCAAATACTAGAAAACGAATTTTCATCATTCTCGGGTCTAATTAAAAGAGTAGCATCATATCAAACTCTAAGAAAAGAAAAGATAAAGGAAATAAATATACCCTAAATTGTTTTCTAGTCAACGGGGCAGTTAGTCGTGGCGGAATTATATCTTCATACTCATACTCATACTCAGTGGGGATCTCAGAATCCACAGAAGATGATATTTTGTTCTTACAGGCCTCAGAAGAAACATCTGCTTTGTCTGGCACTGGACTCGTACCTCTCTTCTCTTTTGAAGCATCAGCATCAGAGTGCCGGTCTCCCTACATAAACCAGTCAATTAATCANAAAGAAAAAAAAAAGCAAATAACACAAATTGAAAAATTAAGCAGCACAACCATCTTCCTGTTCTCCTTTTCTTCTTGAGAAATCCACTCCATCGCAACCTGAGATGTACCAGCCACCAACATTTATTCCCAATCAAATACACAAAAATCGCTGATAGTAGCAGCAGAACATCCAATTGAACCGTGTATCTAAATAAATTCGCAACAATTCCAAACTGAAGATCGAGACAACATGAAAGCTGCAGACATCTAGAAACGAAATAGAAAATGAAATTGAAGAGACGGTTCAATGAAAAACGCAATAGACATTACCTCAGCCATATTCATGCGAAACTTGATTGACAACCAGAAAAGCAAAATAGAATGAAGATCAATAACTACTTTTCAAACAACAATAAAAACATGTCGAGAGAATAAAAGAAGCACAAATAAAAAGAGTATGGGAATCCTTAACCAAATCCAAGAGGGGGAAGAACATAGTTTTATTAGGTTTCTTATCGACGAGGCCCGAGTTGGGTTTTGGGGCTGAACGGTGCACCAAATGGTTGAAGTTTCTTAAAAACATAATAAAATTAAAAAAAAAAATACAAATTACAAACCATTTACAATTTCGAATCTATCTATATCTATATATATAATATCTATCTATATCTATATCATAAATCTATCTATATCTATATCATAAAAATTACAATCTATTATTATATAATACGGAAAAGAAAAATTATTAAAAAATTATTGAAAAATTATTTGAAAAAATATTTTATTTTGCCCGCTTAAAATCTGTTTTTTCGTTGAAATTTTTTTGGATTCCTCTTAAATCTGTTTTTCACTTCCTATTTTTTTGGATGTGATTTGCTAAAAACCAGATAAAGTCATGCAATACACCAACCCATGCAATTTGTTTAAAACATATTTTGAAAATTTTCAAAACAAAATTAATTCAATAAATTAAAGAACACAATCAGCATATTTTTTGGAAACAATCTCATGCCATAGATAAACTCCTCACGGGTGGCTGAGAGCTCCAATGGTTGGTGGCGAGTTGGGGGAGATTTTCCGGTCAAGCATGGATAGGGAGACATTAATTTTTTTTTTGGAAGTTAATAATTTTTTTGGATTTATGTTCGGCAAGTTCTCTGTTTTTCACAGGATAAAGAACTAAGGTACCGTTTCATTTTTAATCATTTTCCGAGCAGGTAAGTCTAATAATAGTTACTACCTTACATTCTTACATATGTTGAATGTTATTTCATCAGATACTTTGATTCTTCCAGAAGTATCTGAATTTTTTTTTACAGGACATCATAGGTAAAGCGAATGTGGAGATTTTTCCGTTGTGTGTTATATTTTCTAGCCGTCAGGACATTCTTACGACAGTAACGAACATGACCTCTAATGGTGGTTTGACGTGGCTGACGGCCGGACAAGGCGTCGGTCGCGCAAAAGCTGTTGGCCGGAGGAGCCGCTGGCTATGAGGACTGAGGGTAGGCTGCCATTTTTGGGTTGCGCACGAAGAGTCTGTGCGGCGGGATGGTTGCTCGTGACGGCTCGACGCGTGAAGCTTGGCTGGCCGGAGATAAAAAATCTTCACGACGGGTGAAGCTGCGTGAATTTGTTGGAGAAGAAAAACCGGAACTCTATGCCCCGTGGTTGAGCACGGCTACGCGAGAGAAAACGACGAGACTCAAGGGTGCTGCTCGATTTTTTCGGCTGAATTTTTGGGAAGATTTTGCACACTCCTTGGCCAGAATTTTGAGGAAGGAGACGCGTGATTTTCGGGATGAAATCTCCTATATTTTTACGAGGAAAACTACCAAATTTTGGTATGTGATGTGGCATTTTTTTTATTGCTTGAGTTTTTTCCACGTCGAGACCGTATAGGAAATACAGTTCAATATGGATTGGTATTATCAGTTTACTTATGTGTCTTGAACTGTTATTTAATGGCCATAATAATTGAAATTATTTATTTATTTTTATTTTTATCGTCATTATTGATCTAATATGCTTAATATTTATTAATGGAATGTGTATATTAGTTTTTTCATGTGTATGATGATTAATTTGCTATTTGTAGCATAAATAATTAATTAGGGTCAAAATTCAAAAAACCTCCACCTGTTTTACTCACCAGCATTCGTTCCAGCGCTGCTGGGAAAGGTCCAATCCGATCGCTTCAAAAAATTATGACTCCATTATATTTTGTAAATTAACAATCGTAAATGGTTAATTGATTTTTTATAAAAAAAAAAGATCAAAATCAATATTTTGATGTCATATCTATAATCTATAATCTATAATAATATAAAAAGGTTTGGCATTTACCTGAAAAAGTAACTATTTTCCCTCCTAAATAATTCAATTTTACTTTTATTAGTAACTCTTTTAAAAAGTGTCAGAAATTATTTGAAATTCAAATTAAAAAAAAAAATCAATCTAATTAAGTACATAATCATTTGTATTTGGAAATTTTGAAAATAAAATAAATTTAAGATTGAGATAAGATTGGTGCCAAACAAATTTTTGGGTTACATTCCATCTTATATAAACTTCCATATAATCTCCTCAATATCTTTTAAGAATGTAATCTAGATTGAAAATAAGAAATACCAAGCCTCCAAATTATATTTAACCCTCTAATCCATTATTGATGTTCCAGTTCTAACGGCAACCACACCATTATTATCCTTTGTTTTCTTTTTTTCTTTAGCCCTCTAATTTGTTTAACCATCCATCCATCCATCCACCCAAAATTCTCATTTCAAGATTTCCCAATTCCCATCGCTTAGGCCACCACCTCCACCAAGACGACGAAAAAGAATATTCACAGACCCTTCCCATTTCTTCTTCTTCTTTTTTT